TTATGCATTTTGGAGATTCTAGAGGTTAAGCAAATACAATATGAAAACTGTGTGATGGACAAAAGTATCTTTATTCTTCACACAAACCTCACCTTACACTCCAACCTGTTATAGTCAGACTGAACATCACCAATTCAGACGTATCTTGAGTAACACATCTGACTTTTTGTATACAACAAACTCGTACATTTTATTAAAAGTCTGCCACCTTTTGTGTAGATACACATAGCAACTTCAAAGCTACAGTCTACGTGAGATGTCTTGGGTCTTCAGAATTCTCAAATCCTAACTACAGAGGCAAGAAATTGAAAGATAAACTGGAGAAATATTATCAACAAAATTTGGCATTCATCCTCCTGGAGTCTTCAGCTGGTCATTTCAGTTCATACCTGGTGTACAACCCTACTACATCAGTGGGAGATGCTGTGAAGCAAGCAGATTTACTTGGTTCAGCAGATAAGACAAAAGAGGTAGCCTTAAATCTGAGTTCTTCAATCTTTGATACATTCAAGCAATCAGAAGCACTTCATTGGTAACCCACAGCAAAATACTTGGAAAATAATGGAATTTTCTCTCTAAGAAGAACTAAAAAAAAGTCCTTTACTTTATGATAATATACTAGAGAAGCAAGTATGTGGATGTCACATCTTATTCAATCCCTTGGAAGGGGCAGTGGAAGTTGCCAAAGCACATGTTGTTGTGTATAACATTGTGTCACTTGTTTCTGTCACATCTTATTCAATCCCTTGGACAAGACACATGCAGACCTGTAACGAAGGGGCAGTGGAAGTTGCCAAAGCACATGTTGTTGTGTATAACATTGTGTCACTTGTTTCTGTCACATCTTATTCAATCCTTGGACAAGACACATGCAGACCTGTAACGAAGGGGCAGTGGAAGTTGCCAAAGTGCATGTTGTTGTGTATGACATTGTGTCACTTGTTTCCTAATGCAGAGTTAACCACACTATTGAACAGATATGGCCACTGTGAAAGTTACAGTTTCTCACTAGAGTTGGAAACTACACTGGCAAGTGCCTTTCAGAAGTCCACAGAGTTGTTATCTCTTCGAATTGTCAAAAATCCACCAATGCCATTTCTTTTCCACTTTGATTTCAACAATTTTGACCAAAACACTGCATCTGGTTCAACTTACACACAAGCTATGGAATCATGCTGCAAGAGATTGGACCTCTTCTGGAGACTAAGCTCACCCATGATATGGAGAGAGAGAGAGAGGGTGAATGTACCTGAAGCTCCATACATTCAAAGGACCAGGTAGAGGTCACTGAAAATCAACATTTTGCCAACTCTCCCAGAGTGTTACATATCACAGAATCACAATCCACTGTACCAGGTGTGAAAATGGACATGTGTGGAAGCAGACACTGTTGAGAAGGTCATATACCAAAATCTTCTCTGGATCATGGCACGTTTACATAATGCCAAAACTAGCCAGGAATTACCTGCACGGGCTGGTTTTATCTCTGCCACTGGAGAAAAACCTTCCAAAGTCACAACAGTTGACTACTATCCAGTTTTCAACTGTCCAATTACAGAGTACAAAGCTATAAAAGAGTGTCTGTGGTACTCAGAAGAAGCATCCAGAGAAGTAGGCCAGCAGCATGTTATAACTATTTTTGATCTGGGAGTACACATGAAAGCTTATCCTTTAGTCTGGAAGAATCCAGAGAAGTAAAAAAATCACTTTGTGATGAATTGCTCCTTTCATGTTGTTAGTGCATATTTCAAGATGATAGGAAAGAAAATGGCAAGCACAGGGCTTTCTGATGTTTTCATTGAAGCTGGCTTAATATATTCTGGATTGCTATGTGGGGTAATGTTCTGAAAGCAGTACAACAGAGCACTGGTGAGTTATAAGATGGTACTAGAAGCAGTTGAGTGGCTGCTACTGAAGACTTTCCAGTCTACAAAACAGGGAGTTCAGCCCTTGTCAAATCTGTCAGACAAGTCTAAAAATATCTTACACACTTTACTCAATTTCCCAACCAAACAATCGCTGAATGATGAGAGGAAAGATCATGCCATAATGTCACAAGTCAAAGATTATTTGAAGTTCAAAGATGAAGGTAGAGAAGGTAAATGTGGAAAAACAGCAAAACTGTTGTTGTCATATATGGATCACATCTGCCTGGTTCCGCAGTTATTACAAGCAGCAAAATCCAACAACTATCCATTGTATGCTCACTGTCTATACAGAATGGCAGACTTGTTCTTCAGTTTTGATGGACATATCTATTCACGTTACCTCACATTTTTCTCAGGAGTAACAAAGTTAATAAGTCAAGGAGCAATCAGTGTAGCAACATCATTAGTTCAAGGGAACAGATTTCCAGTTGATAAAACCATTGAGGAAACTTTCAATAAGCACACAAAATCCCATGGCGAATCAGGAGGATGTGGTGCAGGTCTGACTGGACTACTAATGAACTTTAACTCCTATCAAAGATGGGTGAAAACAACCTATGAAAGGGCACAGTTTGTTGATGTGACCTTCACAAAAGCTGATCTGCCTTCTGAATCTCATGGTGGACAAAAGCACAAAGATCTGAAAGCCAGCAGAAATTAGGAGAAGTGAACAAAAGGTCACCAGGACCATGGAAGCAACTAAAAGCTTCTTAGATCCATTCAATTTTCCAAGTGATGATAAGCTCTATTGCATTTCCTATGGTGCAATAATGTCTAGTCATATAGAAGATGTTATGAAAGCTGAAAATCTAGGAAAACAAGCAAATGAAACATTCATCAGAGAGAGATTCCAAACCAAAGAACATTTCTTTGACCCAGTGAAAAAACTTAAACTGAAAACAATAGAAAACATGAATAAATCTGTGAAACTCAAAACCACAGAAAATAAGGTTGTGACTTACAAACAACACAGCAGTGTAGTGATTCAGCAGTTGGTCAAGTCCCAATCAAACTAAACCACTAATGTTGAAGAACTGATGAAGTATCCAAAGTCCTGTCCCTTACAGCATTGGTACTGCTGATGGTTATTTGGCAAAAATCAATAAATCTAAAGGATTTCACTATCTAATGAAGGAGGTTGATGATGTCAATCTCCCTGTTGAGTCAACAACATTGTTAGATGTAGATGGTAAGGTTGTGTTCTACTCCTTGATAGAAATCCCTGAAAACTTAAGATATCTCACAGATTATTTGATAGCCTGCTGAAGAAGATGGATCTGGTATTCAGTACTGACATATATAAAGGATCAATCAAACAAATAAAATGAGACAGACGTGGATGCAGTGACAAACTGATCATCTGGGCCAAATAACGAAAATAACTGCAAACTGGAGGAACTTCCTTCTTAACAATGAAAACAAAACACAGCTAAGTGCCATTCTCCATGATGTATAGAGTGGAAATGATCTTGCACTGAAGCTCAGAAAGAAAACTGATATCAGTCCTTGAGGGCCGTTGTTACTTCCTGGAATCAGGTGACGAGAGAACAACGAGAGAACGGAGTTGCCAACATTGTACTAAACCCAAGAGAAGGTGGACACACGAGTAATTTTGTACCGTGTTTATGGTCAGGATCATGGATATGAAGTTGTCAGCATCAGAAGTCCAGATACAAATATATTCTTCATAGCTGTACATCATGCAATGCAACTCCAGATCACTATTCTGTCTGATACAGGTACAGGAAACAATAAGAGACTCATTAATGTATCAGAACTAGTTCATGAATATTACCAAAAATTTTGCACAGCACAGATGGTTCTGCATGCTTTCACACATTGTGATACAACAAATGCCTTCAAAGGTATTGGTAAAGTGTGACCAATCAAACTGCTGCAGAAGATGCTTGCTTTCTAAAGTGTTATAGACAAAACTGGGAATTCTTGGACTGTTCCTGGTCACGAGGCAGGTTTAGAAGAACTGACATGCGCAATGTACAGAAAATCCCATTTCAAAAATGTTGATGATGTGCATTTCACCATTCTCAAGGAGAAATATGATGGTGAAGATGGGAGTGTTAGTCTGAATTGCAATATCAACCTCAGTCAGTTACCTCCATGTCAGAAAGTGTTACGTCAGCATATCAGACTAGTGTATTATCTGGTTAGAATCTGGAAATGCACCAATGTCTCAACCAGATGTACCACCACCATCAGAAGCGCACAGATGGACAGTCATCAATGGAAAAATTGAACCTCTGTGGTTTGATGGATACCAGACTGGATGCCCTTTACTTGGCCTAAAAATGCAAATATTCATCTGAAAACCAAAGTTTTGGGTATGTTTAAAAAGGTTTAAGGTATATCTTCACAAGAGATGTAGCTTGGAATTCTCATTCTAGTATAGAAACTGGGTGTGGCTACTGTCAGGGAGTGAGAATATTTATATCTTTGTTCTTTGAACTTGATGGAAGGAATTTGAAACAATTAATGTATAAATATCCCTACACACATAGTTTTGATTCCAAACATACACGTACACTGTAAATGAAGAATTATTCAACTAATAGAAACCAAAAAATTTGAATTTTTAAGTGCCCGTGCATCATGTGACAACAAAACTGAGGTTGAAAAAATGGAATTAAGTCTTAGATGTTATAAAACTTTAAATTATAACAGATATGATAATGCTAAATTTGTTAAAATACATTGATAGTAAAGTGGTTTACCTGAATTTTCAATGTAACTCAGTGAAACCTTATGAAATGCGCAGAAAGGAGTTTAAAGAGTGCACAGTAGTCAAAGTGTTAACAAATATTAGATGTTTGTTTTACAGCAATCTTGAAGATGAAAGTTTATACATAAAAACCTATTACATTTCTTCTTACAGATATAGGTTCTTTCTTAAAGCATATATACTACGAACACCATTCCAAAGTAAATTTTAATGTTTTTTTTTTTTTAATGAAACTAATGTCATGTCAGTATTATCCTGAGAAAAAAAATATATTCCTAGAAATGTATTAATACAGACATGCTCTTTAATAAAATATATAATATTACTTTCACCATAACATGTCAGTTGCACTTACCCATTAAACCACCAAATGTTATAGCACCAGAAAGAGCAGCAAAATAAATAAATATAGCAGATGCTAGACACTGGGCATTGAGACCATCACAGAAATCACTCAGATAGTATGGAAACCGGTTTTTAATGTCATTCAAGACTCCTCCAAAGAGGCGGCCAGAACGTCTCAATGGATCATAAGGTGGAGGCTTCTCCTCAGGAATAGCTGTACAACAATAATCATATTTATATATAGACACAAAAACAACACACACACACACATATATATATATACACACAATAACAAACTCCCAAAACTCCACTCATTCAACCATGAGAAAAATCTGCATAGTGAATCAACTAATTTTAAATGTAATGGATTTTTAAATATTAACTTGTGCAATACCTTTAGCCTAAAACAGTTTATTCTATTCTGAATTACACAGAGCTTCTTAGAATTATGTAAAATTGTATTTTAAATAAATTCCAGCTTCAGTGATTTAAAATAATGAAACATAATTCTCAGTACTGAAATACAAAGTTAAGGGACCACATTTTTTTAGCATCGCATTTCATTCATCAATATATTAAATACATTTACTAAAACTGCAAACACGGCTTAAGGGGACTTTCTTGACCATGACAGAGGCTCTGTATGTATTAAGAGACACTGTCCCTATTAGATTTTTAGGATTTAAAAATGATTATTTAGCTAACTGTTCCAATGCTCACACAGTGCTATAGGTCTGTAAGTAGAGAAAGTTCAAAGAATGTTTATTGACTGAAATAACTAACTTACTGTAACTTATAAAACAAGTTATTTCTTATAATATATGGGACTTCTAAACAAACTGAGTACTTATTAAATTACCACTCTTTCGTCATGAACTTTTATTGCCCAAACTATGTAGTCCAAATTAACTTTTTATTTCTCTAAAAACTGTGAAATGATAAATCTAGAAGAACTGCCAAGTTTTCATTTCTGACTAACTTCATGTTAACAATCCCCTAAAGTGACAGTATTAAAGAACATGTCTCCCCTATTTTAAGGAAGTATCATATGGTCTTAATGGAAAGGTTTTTTTTTTTAGTAGTTTTTCAGTTCTATGCATTATAACAATCCGTAATCCTCTCACACATTCCAACAAGATTTACTGAGCATTATCAAGCAGCAAAGATTAATCGATCACATTTCATAGGGAAAAAGGCCTCAGAGAGGGATATGGCAGTTGTAGTACAGTTGATATATTTATAACATATTCTATTCTACTTTCACTCATAGGTTCTCAAAATAACTAACTATTCTTTCTGTATATCTATAAATAAAAATTCATAATGGAAATATTACAATACAGTTTTTAAAAGCTACAAGAAATAAAACAGGCATCGCAAAAACGGTACATCAATAATACTTACCTGCTAAGTTGCATGATCAGATTTAAATGAAATATACTGAAAGGTCAAGCTTTACAAATATTTGTCAAAACTTAAATCCTTACTGTCTCTCTCTTTTAGTTCTTTCTTTTTCCTTTTCTTGAGCTCTTGATTTCTCTGTCTTATCTCTTGGAATGGAAGAAGAGACTTTCTTTCCCAATCTCCAGGTGGAAGAACAATGCTGTCATCCAAGAACTCATTTACAGCACAAAGAAGATCTTTTCTGTCCTCAGCTTGATAAGCAGTCTCATGAAAATGCTAAAATAATCAAATTCCCAGAATCGTTTCACACAACATCAAATAATAATAACTCGTTTGTATTTCTGGTTAGAATTTTTATGCAAAGCTACATGAGCATAGCAATGCTTAAGCTTGAACTGACAGATTAAATGAAAGGCAGCCAATCAACAACACCAACTCAAATCTGGCTGAATAGTTGAATTTCATCATCACTATTGCATTTCATCCATGGTCCAAAATGGGAAGCACATTTTTGCAGTCAAAGGGCATAAGCCATTTACTCTTATGTTCACAGTTTGGGTAGACTAATTACTAGGCCATACCTAGCATACTAATCAGTCAAAAGTTAATTTCACATAAATACTAATGTAAACAAAATGAAGCTAAAAATCTAAAGTCCAAGAACCTGAGGTGGTTTTTCAAACCATGGAACAGCACTTACTAGAATATTCAGAGGAATACTTTCATAGAATGGATAAAAAATTACTTGAATTTAGATACTTTGGTGGAAATTACTGAATATTCAGTGTGATCTCACCAAACATTTAAAACTTAAGAAAGGTTGAAGCTCAAATGATGGGTGCTAATTAATAAAGTAATTTTGGAGTTTGTGGTCATTATTTTTATAATTATTTAAAGCACAATGTAGATAAATTTTAGTCAATTTCACTAACTACAAAATTACTGAACTCAATGAAAGCGTAAAATCTGCATGAATAGCATCTTTGTAAATACATAAATATATAAAATGTGCCTAGACGTATAGATTATAAAAAATCCACACTGATATTCTTACAATTCCAGTATAACTCTTAATAGTCCTTTCTAAGTACAAAGTAGAACAAATAAATTATCAAGCCATCACTCATGGCTGGAGCAAGCCTGTAATTGGCAAGTTAGGTTAATACAATGTATGCAGGGATATATCCTTAACCCTGGTGGGGTGCCAATGATATCCCTTGATATTTTCCTTCTCAACATGGACACATTCAACCAAATTGCATGAAACTTAGTACATACTTACTAAACAGTATCTATTTGTGCATAAAACATTCAATTAATTTTACTTTATATTTCTATAAATTTTTATGCTGTGAAATTTCCAAAAATTCTGTAAAGACACTTTAAAAAAACAACATTAAAATACTTCTTTTCATCACATAATTGAATCTTTATTATTATTATTGTTTATTAGAAAGTCCCATTTTATATATTCAGTCAACTTCAACTTGACTCATATTGATTAACTTGTGTATTTTGATACTTTACCTTTCAATTGCTGTAATTATGGATTCCAGCTACATATCATAAAAAAACACCACAAAAACCTATAATTTGATCTTTCACAGTGTTTTCACCATTCCTTTTGTCAGGCTAGGTAACAACGTTTTTTGCTAACAATATTCTTGGTCAAGATCAATCTATATCTAACAAATGTTGTTTTTCAATAAACAATAAGTTATATCATGTATTTGCATTGTTTGAACATGGTAAAGTTAACAATAACATTAAATGAATACAGATTTCAGTCATCAAAGTATTTTGCCAGAGAAGAAAATTTCTGTAGCTTTGAAAACAGACAACTTAAGACAAACATTTTCAAGAATGATAAGAACATCTAAAGTTACCATAAAAAATTCCCAGATCTGTAGTTTCTTCTTAAGTTATTTAACTCTCTCAACATGGGCTTGGTCAATTTGACCGACCATGTGATCTTTTTGTACTTGTATAGTCTTTACAGATTTGATACCACTAACTTTTGATATAGTGTGTATATCTTCACAAAATTTGGCAGTCTTTCAGTAAACATTATAAGCCTTTCACATACAAAAAATCATATTTTTTAGTGAAGTATTTTCAATACACTAAAAAAAATACATTTCAAATGTTTGTTTTCAGTAAAACTTTATATATATTTTATCTGTTATCTTCTCTTCCCTAACTCTATATACGGTTGGTCAATTTGACTAACCTCGTAACCATAAAAAAATAAAATAAATCTAAGTTACCCTCCTTTTTTTTCTAGAATGACTTCAAATGTAGTGTGAAACTACGTCCGTTTATCCTAAGTAGCTTTAGACTCGTAACAGTATACATCTATTTATAATTAAATTTTATTGCACTTTGAACTGTGTCTAACTACTATTTATGGCAATGTGTGTTGTAAAAAAAAAAGTAGGGTTAACTGTCATCTACAGTTGAGAACAACAACAACAACAAAAAAGAATACTCTGGTAAGTACTTTATTTCTTGTTTTTTGTGTATTCTTTATTTATTATTATAAAAGTAACTAAAATGTAAAAATAGATATCTCTTTAGGTTAGTTAAGGTTAGATTAAGTAAAATAAATAATAATAATAATATAATAAAAATATTTCACAAGGCATGCACACAAGCAGTTTGGAGTAGCTCATGGGTAATGTAATATGAGCTGCACCTTCCCCAAGTGAAAACTAACGGTAGTAGAGCATTAAATAATTTTTATTGAATTAAATAATGCACCAAAGATCATAGACTAACAACATACAAAAAGCAGACAATTTCCTATAGCATAGACAAAGAGTTTTATAACATTTTGAATGCAAGACCTTGTGTCATGCACTGTAAAGGATACCTGGAGCAAAAGGGTTAAACCTCCCATTAAATTATGTTGTTCACTCCTGTAAAAGCTCCATTCAATTACTTTCCCACAAAACCATAAATTATTGTTCACACCAATTTATTTACTTTAAATTAACATAAATAGTTTTTAATCTGTTCTTTCCACGATATTTATATTTTGACTTGCCCCGGATTTTAGTGTTGTAAGTCCATGAGACTAGTAATTGTATGACATAATAAAAAAGGTGGGATCAAAGGGCTATAAACATAAAACCTCAAACACGGAAAGAAAATCATGGGAAAAACAAAGCATGGATAACTATAAACTAATGGGATGATTTTCTTAGCAAATATAAAACTAAAGCTTTGAGATGGGCAGAAAAAAATTTTAATTAATAAATGCATTGTTTATAGACAAGACTTAAGCTGTACAGAAATGAAACTTTGAAAAAAATTGTTTTTCATTTTTCTTTGTGAATTACACTAAAATAAATGTTATAAAAGACAAAATATCAATTTCAAAATATTTTCAAACTTAAAATTTGGTGAAATAGAGTTAAAATTATTATATTTACTTAAAGTTTGAAATTTGATATGTAGGGGTGCACACAACACCTAAAAGGTGCTTACTACTCATGGCAGGATTAAAAGCTCAAATACACAGTAATACAGAGTTTTCCAACAAAACTCACCCTGTTAGACATTAAAGTTGATATAGAACGGCCTATCTCATGATAATCCAGACTTGTATCCATAGGGCCCAATAGAACAAATACAAAACGGACTGGAATGGAAACCTGTGTAAAGACAAACAAAAAGTTGAAGAATACAAAAACTTTATACATATATTAAATTCATCTAATTTTATCCAAATTTATATGAGGCTTGAATTAAATGGTTGGTAGAACATTAAAAGTATGTAACAAATGTAAAATTCCCAAAATTATATGCACTATAGGGTAAACAGTTTGGCAGAGCATTAGTACAGAAAAAAAAAAAAAAAATTACACAGGGCAAACTGAGAAACCTCAACATAGTTGGTTATAATCTGATCTATAGTATGAAAACTAGTATTACAGCTTGTTGTCCACAGGTTAGATTAAGTTTAGATCAGGTTAATAAGCAAGTTGAGGTACTTATCTCAACTAAGTTGGTCATAACCTGACCTTCAGCAAACCTAACAAGTGTTATGGTTGGTTGTTCGTAGGTAAGGTTAAGTTCAGGTCAGGTTAAACAAATTGACATATTTACCTCGACCAACTTGGGCATAGTATGACCTTCAGCAAGTCTAAAAAATGGTACAGTTGTTAGTTCAAAGGTTAAGGTTATGTCAGGTTAAGCAAATTAAGGTATTTACCTCAACCAAGTTGGGTATAGTATGACCTTCAATAAGCCTAAAAATGCTATAGTTCTTAGTTCAAAGGTTAAGGTTATGTCAGGTTAAGCAAATTAAGGTATTTACCTCAAACAAGTTGGATATAGTATGACCTTCAATAAGCCTAAAAATGCTTTAGTTCTTAGTTCAAAGGTTAAGGTTATGTCAGGTTAAGCAAATTAAGGTATTTACCTCAACCAAATTGGGCATAGTCTGACCTTCAGCAAGTCTAACAAATGCTATAGTTGGTTGTTCAAGAAAATCCAGTGCTCCAACTAGAACAATAGTAGCTTCAGCACCTTCTGGTATCCTCCGTAAGATGCTCTGGTCTAGCTTCGGGATGTCTTCTTGGGATACACTGTGAAACATGATCTCACTCTGTTTCTGGCTCTAAAGAGTGAATAAAACAACTTAATTCAAAACCTTTCAATTACATTTTTGTTTTAATGTTATGCCTTTCCCAATCACTTAAATTACTGTGTAACAAAATGTCATACATATTTCAATACAATTACAACCCCCTCTCGAGAAGAGGGAAGATGTGTAGGTTTTGAAATCAAAAGTTGCAGGGTGTACTTAGAATTTCAACTGCTTGTAGTAACAAGTTTTTATCTATCTCTAAAATATGAAAGAGGAATAAAAGATGAACAAATTATTTATGAAACTTCTTATAAACACAACTATAACAGCAAAGTACTTTACACATCTTAAATGATGACAAGTAGCACATCACACAAATAATTATCTTTATTAAGTTCTTCATGGTTTGAAATATAGCAAATAACGATTACTATGTGATAACTTTAACATATGGTTACACAAAACACTCACTTGTTCATCATTATCAACTGGCAAGGCTGTGTCGGATGAGGCAGATCTAAAATTACCAACAGGAGCAACCTTTACAACTGGAATATCTTGAGAAGTAAAACTTCCATTCGATGATATGATCTTTGGGGACGATCTAGAATAGGAAAAAATTGTGTATTACTCTTCAAAACGAAATTAATACTAGCAACAAAACTATTTAACTGAAACATATTAATATATTTATTAATATTGGAAATTATTTTATATTAATTTCTATATATATTATTTTACCTTTCTTTTCAGTGATTTTAAAAGTCAATTCAAACAGTTATTTAGATCAATAAGGCTTAATGCAAACAAGGCCTAACAAACAGTTGATTTGTCAGCAAAATGAAACTTGAATTAATTGTGTGCAAAATGATCTAATTACTCCTAACAATTTTCAACCTGATCTTGTTCCACAACATACTTTTCTTTTCCAAATATTCTGTAATACAACTCAAAGGAAGTATAAAATGATAATGCAAGCTTTTCACATGCTTAAAAAGAAAGTCAGGACTGCAATTGTGCTAGAAGTTGTTTACAAACACCATTTTTTTCAGCAAAACATCAAGTCAAGCTTTTATCACTTTACAAAGTTTTATTTACAGATAAAACAAGTACACATTTCTAAAAACTCATCTTTATAAAACACTATATTCTGCTGGTTTATCAAGCACCATCAGGTGGATATATTTGAATAATTGAACTAAACCAGTACATGTTGCGGTAACAACAGTGACACTACATTGCTAAGCAACAAAATAAAAGCAAATTAAACACAATTGTTAAACAGAGAAGAGTTAATATATATATATATAATTTTGCACCTGAAAACTAGTTAATGGTAAGTTTTTGTTTTTCAATGAGAGCTTCTTTGATTTTTCTTCTATTTATATTATTTTTCTATGTAAAAACAAAAGTGTTTATTTTGGGCCATGTGATCAAACAAAAGGGAAGGAGCTTTTAAACATTCTTTTAACCCTTTCAACACATGTACCCCTTTACACACTTTTTGTCCAAGTCACTGTGTTACATTCAGAATTTAATTAAGTACCTTTCCTATCAATGTATGTCAATGAAATTAACCTTATATTGTATGTTATGATTCAAAGTTTTATGTTATCTAAGCTTTAAGTCCTTTATTTCAGAATAAACTTTTAAATAAACTACTTAAAACTTCAGATGTATTGTCACGTGACCTATAAGCTATAAAAATTCTCTACTTTGGCACTTCATATCTTCAATAATATAATGGCAGTTGTGTAAATGTAGGACTAGACAATAAGACGTTTACTTAACATATTAACACGCACATTTCAAAGTTCTCTGGATGGATGCAGTTGAAACAAGTAATAAATTTTGTCAACCCCTGACTGGTGCCACGCCCAACTCCAATAGATTTGTTTAAGGTTTATAGGCTACACAAAGAGATTACATATGCATGTATTTAATCATTAGAAAGAGCTCATTTTACACTATAATCCAGCAACAATTATTTTAAAATTGGTATGCAGTTTTCATCACAGAGTAATGTAACTGCCTGTAGTATTGTTTGCTGCTTGATCTACTATAGCACTTATGGTTGTTTCTCACCTAAATATGTTCTAGTTAAAGATACAGTTAAATTGTATTTAGGTCTTACTTTTATATTTCAGTTAATTATGTATCATTTATGTTTTAAAATGCATAACTGAATGGATTAAACATTTTTAAACATACATCAGTTCTCAAGGCTTACAATATTACATGATGCACAAAAATTTTGTCACAGGGTTGCACATCTCCGCCAGAGAGTACCGTTAACTAGTGTTGAGATGAATAATAAATGGTAAAGGAAATGAAAGAAAAAATAAAACATTAAAAATTTCCAATATGTGAAAAGGAAAAGACCTGATATTACAAATAATCAAAACAATATCTTTAAAGATATTCTATAAAAAAACTAAGGTATGTACTTCTTTTCTATTTCCTTGTTTTAATCATTTAATTGCAATGTATGGTGATGATAACAGCTAGAGTTAGCGATTTGGTAGAGAAAATGGAAAAATTAATTATAAACATTTACCTTAAAAACGTTTGATATTCATTTAGGAGGTTCTAGAGGTCATGCAAATGAAATATGAAAACTATAAGATGAGCAAAAAGTATTTTTATACTTAAAATGAAAATCACTTAGCTCTCGAGTTATTCAGAGTTTAAGTGCACATAACTACTATATATAAATAACATTTTTATTATAAAGATGTAATTAAAATAATGTCTTTTTTGTGTACAAGATATCATCTTTAACAAAATATTACCAGGTTTTGTGAGTATATCTCAAAGTTACCATATGTAATGTTGCATAAATGTCCTTCCCCAGTCGAGTCGAGGTGACGTGAAATGTATCACCCCATTGCAAAAGGGTTAATATTAAAGACACTTGTTGGCAGGTTTATCCAATCTAAGTATTACCAATCCTTTACATGTGATGTTAGACAAAAATCCTGAAGTGCCCTTATCAACAAATTTGTGCAATACAGTTTGTCCTAGTTTCTTTTCTGCTAAGAAGCAAAATTTTACATCTAAATCCATGTTGTATTCTTTAATTTATTTTAAACCATGTTTTGTGGATGGCACATTAAATCCTAGAAATATATGGTGTAATATGATAAAAGTTTTGTTTTTATTATTATTATTTTTTTTTTTATAAGTCATTGGCGGTATCATCAGGTTACAATTTATTTTCTAGGAATTATAGTTTTATTTATAACTGTGAGAGGAAACATTGTTTTGTGCTTTATGTTGTGACTTCAATATATTTATCTATTTTTTAAAATCCTGTTGAGAAGAGCAAATATTTTTAGCTGTATGAAAAAGGGTCTTTATGATCCTATTTGTTGTATAGGATCATAGAAAAATTCCAATGAACATAACCTCATGAATGTGTCTCTAAGAAAAACAGTCGTATGAAATACATTTTCACTTTTTTCAATAAAAATATTTAAGAAAAAGAAATTTTTCATCAACTTCATTCTTAACTGTAAACTGATGTTGAGATAAAATGCATTAAAACTCTTTAGACAATCAGTTTCCTTAAAGATTGTACATAACAGATCCAGAAAACTGGAGGATTGAGTGAAGTAGAAATGGCAATTTCTTCAATCCTGATCATGAATAAATTAGGTGAACCAGGAATTCCTATACTTAGACTATCAATCTGGTCATAATAAACATTCTGAAATAGAATACTTTCACTAGAAGTGGAAAAGTGAAAAACATTCTTTGATTATAAAACATCTAACAACGATCTGAAAACATTCCAAAACACAATTAACTCCTTCAGCTGACACTTATTTGAACAGATCATTTAAATCAAACCATAACAATCTTTTAATTTTGTGATGAAAGATTTACAATTTTTGACAAAAGACGAAGCTTTAGAGATGTAAGGGAAAAATAGCCAAGCCAGGAATTCTCTGAGATTATAACCTTTATAAGCAAGAATTAGAGGTCGTAAAAGAACATTTGGCTTATGGAATTTTGGTAGGCCATATTTTTGTAGAATAAGAAGGTCGTAAGAAATTTAACAAGTCATTGGAAGGTTTGTCAAATTTGTTCAACTATAGTAAACAGAATTTTTGGTCATGTTCTCTATTGGACACTAAATCAGTTTCTAATTTCACAAAATGAACTGAATCCTTTAAACTAGCATACATGTCACTAAGACATCTACAGCAACCCATGAAAACAACAATCACATTTATCTGATTTTAACTAAACAAGGTTTGATCTTTTTTTTTACATATAGAATGTACGCTTTTTAATTCTTCTTGTTTTAAATTGGGTATTAACTC